AGAGGGGCCAGTTTTGGGTGGTGAAACTTGGTCGAGAAGTTAATTCCAGCTGAAATGACAGAATAAATGAGTCATATTCCGTGTGGTTAAAGGGGGTGGGGGGTACGGTTTTGGGTGGTGAAACTTAGTAGAGAAGTTAGTTCCTGAAACGACAAAACGAGGTAGTATCATGCACTGCCTGTTTTGGCCATACAAACGGGGCATTTTCGGCCAATTGACGTCACTGCCTGTTTTGGCCAAAACCACGTCAAAACGGCGCAGTCAAAGGCAATGATCAACACATAGTAATATGACACAAGGATATGTTCAGAAGATATAATTTTATTATATAAAGTAGAAATTGTACTGATGTTTCTATAACAGCGACATTGCAGAGTTTGTTAAGCAACAAATATCATAATATTCGCTCAAGCCACATAGTTGCTACTATCAAGCATCAACTGCCTGAATTATTTCGAAGCTATTGTCACCTAAACTTCAGCCGAGATTGTTTGCAACTACTTTGAAATAAACGGAAACCTGCCCCCCCCCCCCCATTTCTGCAAAAGAACAAACTTTTCTTTGAAACTCAGTGCTATTACATTTTGTAACGATAACGTAAAAAATTATATTACCCATTAAGTTGTAACCATGGTAACCAAACCTCATTCACCTTTATTAACTGATTATATTAAAATAGCTATAGCATATACTAATTGCTTGAGAGATGTTACAAGGAAACACTTGTTCAGCTGTAAGGACATTCTCCAAGGTACACATTTCCAGCCATGTCAAGAGGCGTAGTCAGAGAGAAAGATTTCGCTGGCTTTCCCATGTCCCCGGACTTCAAGTTACGTATACAGCCTGTGTACTGTTCAGTGGCAGTCACGCCCTGAGCAGTCTCGCCCTCTGCGGAAGAATGGATTATGGAAATATATAATTATAAGGTTCATTAGACAAACACGTGATCTGCAAAAGAAAAAAACACGCTAAATAGGGAAAGGAAACTCTTGTACCGGCGAATTGTCAGGGTAACCTGGAAAACATGTTGCCTGTTTGCCTGAGATGGACGAGCATCCAGGGGAAATAGTGATACTCCTACAGACTTTAACCTGGGGCTAGCCTGTTCCAGTCGTTCGGATAATGGGGAGGCGACGCGAAAAGACGGGAGAAGCGCGAAGATCGGTTTTTCGCGTCGCTCCCCCACTAACCGTACGCCTGGAACGGGCTAACCTAGGGCAAAATACCTAGAGTTATCTCACCCACCCTCTCTACACTAAACTTGGCCCCCTCACCCCCCCCCCCCCCCCTCCCACCCCCACCCCCTGATTAGTTCTGTCACATACAAACTCCTCTAAATAATGTCAGTTGAAAACAAAACAAACAACAACAACAGAAACACTAAAACGCCGTGCAGGAGTACGGATGGTCAAATTTGGACAAGATTGAAACAGTCTGCATAAGACAACTTGATTTCCGTCGGACCGACACTAGCTAAACTGTCCAGCAAGACTGAAGTACAAAACTCTACTGTACTCTACCTGGAAGTCCTCCAATGTAAAGAGGATCGTAGACATCGGCGCCAGTCTGAGCACCTTTGCCTCCTCCCTCCAGTATTTCTCCATCATCAACTTGAAGTCTCACCACTTTATAATCTTTCCATGCTTTAATTTTGTGCCACTGTCCATTACATAGTTGAAGTGGATTGTCAGCAACATATTCCACCACTAGCGCACCTCCACCATTCTCTGCACGGAAGATGATCTAAAACAGGAATGAACACAGCTCCATTCATTTGCTAGTTAGCTTCAATTGTTGGGCTGTAAACAGCTTGGTGTAATATATCAAACACGAGAAGAGAGTTGAAAATACGACGCGCAGCGGAGTATTTTTGACGAAATTCGAGGTGTTTGTAAATTGGATGAAACACTATCTCGAGTGTTTGATATATCTTCTCAATCGAAACTAAAACTAAGGAGTAAACGGAGAAATACAATCGTAAAAATCTATGCTAATTAAGATCACTGCCAGATATCCAAACCACAGTCACGGTTATGATATCCTTTGTTTTAACTTGATGAATTATTAATGAATTTGAGAAGTTAAATGAACTCCTGGCCAAAAGAATATTGAAAAATAAACCTGCTTATTATATGGCAAACTGGTCCATGATGAAAAGGAGCATTCTGATTGGTTCCCTGAGCGCTCCGAATTGTGCAATAAGATGGACCGCTCACGAACTCATTTCGCCGAATTCCTTTTATGAAACATTGAACAAAAGAAAATTGTTTTCTATTAAGTAGAAACATTTTCCCTTATGTCTGGCAGACAATTTCGTTTAAACTTTTCGCAAAATAGCCCGAAATGTGCAAGTATATGCTTAGCTTCGGCGCGCGTGCGCGTTAGCCGAGAATGGTTGCATTAATTTATCAGAAAAGATTTAAAAAAGCCATTATAATAAAAACTGTATTGATCTAGCTTGTTCGGTCCGTATTGGGGAATATTGGTCGAGTTCCTTTTTGCAAGTTTATGGACCTCGCCTTCGGCTCGATCCATAAACTTGCATAAAAAGAACTCGACCAATATTTCCCCAATACGGACCGAACAAGCTAGTTCAATAACATCTATATACACATTTGCGTTGTGTTGACAGAAGAAGTGATACTTACATTACCACGAATCATCTCTAACGCGATGTAGTCCCCCTTGCGACTTGAAGACGATAGCAGAACGCCAGTGTGTGATGTTGGTTTTATTTCTAGCGTGATTTCTTCATACGTCCCCACAGAGTGAGATTTAACTGTAAAATGAAGAAAAGAAGTAGCTGTCAAATCATTGACACAAAGCGCGAACTAAGGACACCCACTTCATTCTGATTGGGCAACCTAAATAATATATATAATTATATATTTTTGTTTCTTTTTGTTCGACCGAGGGCAAAGTTGAACCAGCCTTACAACAAACAGGCGACATTTAAACCAGCCTTACAACAAACGGGCCACAGACTCACCAACTTGCAGGAAGCCTCCGCCCTTCTCGAAGTTCACCCAGGTGCAGGGCTGTTTTGGTAACAATCTTGTGTCTTGAAGGAATTAGTTGGCGGCCCAATGTCTTTATCGTCAACTGTTACATTCCTGATGCATCCTGGGAAACTCACACGTGAACCAGCCTGCAGATAGTAACAACAGACTGTGAACAATTTAGCACTAGACATTGGTTAATCTTAAAACAAATATCTTTATTATCACCCCGGGTACGAACAACGAACTTTTCAAGACGCGTCATCTCTGAAAAGGAGCTATTTCATGGATGAATTGGGGGGGGGGGGGGGGGCGGGGGGGGAGGGTCATTATTTTCAGAAAGTAGCTTAACATCGAAGCAAATCTTAAAATCAGGTAACCTAAACCAATCAAAGGCTTCTGTGAGCCTTAACGCGTGAATGAATGAAGTTAACAGCCCATCGACCGACCGAGTGAAATTTGTCCACCACATGCTATAACCCGTTTAGTGCTTTCGCATTCACGAGTTAAAAATGAACAAGGATGGTCAACAGTGGAGAGGATTGAAATGGATTACAAACGACGAGTGCCATCTGTGATGCAACACTTTACACATAGCCCCACTCCTCTGCTTTTAATCAGTGACAAACTTTGCGAAGGAGCAAAAGGAAGGCGTTACTAACCGGCACTCGTTTGGCATCAAGTCTTCAGGAGTACCGCCCAGGTGCAGCACTTTAAGGCCATTTATATACTTGGGTGAACCAGCAGCCTTTCCTGAGACAACCTCTACACCATCAACATAAAGCGTACCATCGACTCCAGTACGCAAAAGACGCACCTGGAAAACACAAACCAATTTGCCAAATTATGATGAAAATTTAAAAACATAAGATATTACCACAAGTTTACTACGTTAATTACTTCATAAGAAATGCACCAAAATTCAACAACTGCTTAGTTAAATGGCTTTGATCAAAATTGAGATGTAGACAGAAACATAATAACCAAGGGCATGAAGCATGACAGTCGGGAACAACTACCAGTTGATGGCGAAATCCCGCCTCCGAGACGGGAACTGAGCCCGCGGTGTTCGTCCCGAAGTTGCTAAGCAACATGACGTATTTGCTGGCGCGATTGCTTTTCGGAGTACTCGTGAGTGCTCGCGCTAGTTTCTGATTGGATAAAAAGATTCGGAACTCTTGAGTGTTTCCACGAAGATTTGCCAAAACCGACACATGTTCCCCCGACTGATGAAGAGTTTGGCTTCCTTCGTGGTGTCATAAAAACAATTTCCTGTGTTAACATAACTGGAAAGAATTTCCACATGTCATTAGATGTCCATAAGTTGCAGCCTTGATGACAAAATAACCCTTTATTTCTATGCTATTTTTTGAGACTTGTTCGCTGGAATTAAACAGGTATTTTGCCGGCTCTAGAGTACAACATACAGACAACTCCCAAACACATCATTCTGGACAAAGAGTGTCAAAGCTCAAAATTAAAAAAGAATCCAAATTTAATTTGGCAAGATATGGAAAAACAAAGAGTACCACATTGCAGTACTGCTCCTAAACTTTCATTTGAATGGTCACACACTTGGGTTTCATCCACAGACTTCACAAGTTAGGAAACACAATAATATTATAATCGACTTGATGCTTGATTCTGGGAGTGAAAGGGTTAAAACAAGCAACCATAAAGCTTACAGTATGCCACTTCCCATCACTGTACGACGCTTGAGGGTGAGGTGAGCGGCAGGGTTCCACCACCAGCACTAAAACTACAGGACACCTTCCCTTTTTGCAAGTGACACTCTATGAAATCAGCCTGGTTTGGTTCATTGGCCGTGTATAACAAGATGCCATCCGGATTTGAAGCACGAATTGGAAAGCTTAATCTAGTACTGGAAAAGAAAGGAAAATTGATTAACAGCTTTAGAGCTACTTGAAAAACAACAGAGGTAACGTGAGTAAATGAATGGTTTATAATGAGCTAGTGTTTTGGGAAACAGAAAAACTTCTGAGCCACTGATGGGAAATTGAACCCACGACCTCCCGCATCTCGGTGGTCGGGCGCTCTAACCAACTGAGCTACAGCGAGGTAGCGTGGGATATATAAATAATAGCCTCCATTTGGCGAGGAAATATGCTCGGATATTTGTCCGCGGACATTATCTGTTCCGAGAAGCGAACAGTTTTCCGAGAGCGAAGCTCGAGGAAAACTGTGAGCTTCGAGGAACAGATAATGTCCAAGGACAAATATCCGAGCATATTTTTGAAGCCAAAATGGAGGCTATTGTAGTTATTATCCTTCAAATATTTTTTCACAAGGCCGCTCTGTTTGCCGTGGAAGATCTCGGTCGGCCAAGCTGTTAAACATCAAAATAATTCTGTTGGCGTTCAAAACTATTTCTAGTCTGTTCAAAACAATCAGTTTTATTCAGATTTAGCAATTTATTTGAGGACGAAAACTGAACCTGCCGAACGTGAAAACGCAAAATTTTCAAAACTGGGGAATATCACTTGGGAATATCACCCCGGATATTCCCCAGTTTGGCTGCGTCACGTGACGTGTTTAGACCAATCGCGCGCGAGAAAAAATTTTTGATGGATTATAAGATCTCTTATTATATGGCAAACTGGTCCACGACAAAATGGAGCATTCTGATTGGTTCCCTGAGCGGTCCGAATTTTGCAATACGGACCGCTAAGATGGACCGCTAACGAACTCATTTCGCCGAATTCCTTTTATGAAACATTGAACAAAAGAAAACTGTTTTTCTATTTAAGTAGAAACATTTTTCCTTATGTCTGTAGGACAATTTTGGGCTTTTTTGGCTAAACTTTTCGCAAAGTGGCTTGAAAAATGCAAGAATATGCTTAGCTTTGGCGCGCGCGCGTTAGCCGAGAATGGTTGCATTAATTTATCAACAAAGTTTAAAAAAAGCCATTATAATAAAAACTTTATTGAACTAGCTTGTTCGGTCCGTATTGGGAAATATTGGTCTCGTTCTTTTTTTGCAAGTTTATGGACCTCGCCTTCGGCTCGGTCCATAAACTTGCAAAAAAAGAACTCGACCAATATTTTCCCAATACGGACCGAACAAGATAGTTCAATAACATCTATATATCACATTCTCGTTATGTTTAATAATAATATGGTTTGCCAAGGGAACTGATAGACCGCGTTGATTTCTTGAACAGTTTTCTCACAATCGTAACAAAGATAATAATACCCCAAGCAGTTGTTCTTCAGAAGATGGTCACAAAATGCAGCTTATCTTTGCAGAAAATATGTTGCATGAACGTAATATACGTACTTAAAAGGGACACTGTCCTCATTTTTAGCATGATTTTGGGAAGCTCAGAAACATATCTAGATCATATATAGGAAGCTGAACAACTGAACTCCTTTTCAGTTGTGATCGCTCCACCAAAAGTAGTTGAAAGTTCAACATAAGTTGAACACTTACCTGGTGCTAACTAACTCGTAGAGCAGAGTTCCTTTGGCGATGGCATACACCACATGACTGTTGAGGTCGTGACCAAATCCCAAGACTCCAGCTTGCTGTGGTTGTCTCTCAGGCATTGAGCACACTGAAGGTTGTGTTGTGGGGGGAGGGGTGGTGGTTGAGATGCTGTTGTTGTGGGGGGAGGGGTAGTGGTGACTTTCTCAGTTGTACTGGGCGAGGCAGGGGTGGAGATAGGTTGTTCCGTGGTTGTGGCAGATTCTGGTGTGGTTTTATCTAATAGTTGAGACAAAGAATTACATCATTAGATTACACATTTTACAATAACTGCCAAATATCTCGCGCGCTCTTGATCAAGAGCTATGGCCGATTACGAAAATGACGTTAAACTCAACGCAACGCAATTAGTGATGGCGTATTCTTCCGCTCTGTCGCGCGCATGTTTCTCAACGAAATAATAATATTCGATAATATTCAATAATTAAAACACCTACTTTAATTACAACGACAGTATTCAATAATAAAATGAACAAGAAACTCTACCCACCCGGTGTCTTAGGTGTCTGTTCCGAGTAATCATCACCATCAAATATCACTTTATGTCTTGAATAGTACTTGGCAAAATCATACATTCTGTCAATCAAAAAACAAGTCATGATGATAGTTTTGCTTAGCTATCCCCAGTCCCCTGTATCAACACCAAAGGAGGCAAACATTTACTGGATCACTTTGTATATGATTTGCTGTCCAGGAATTCCTGATACCCTCAGGAAAATACGAAGAATTGACGAGGTAGCAGTAAGTGTGGGGAGAGGCAGGGGGTCTGAAACTCCCCCCCCCCCCCCCCCCTCCCCCCACTACTACTAGTAGTATAAATTATACAACGGCCACCCTGGGGCAGAATTAACTGGCCGTTGTAGAGAGGTGGCCGTTGCAGGGAGGTTTCAATAAGAGTGAAAAGTATGGATAGACATACGACTGGGACAAAAAATCCTGGCCGCTGTGGAGAGGTGGCCGCTATAGAGAGGTGGCCGTTAGTGAAGGTTTGACTGTATGGTCGTAGCACATAAGGATTTGAACATGCAGAGAATGACAAACTAAATGAACTTACTCCTGTTTCTCATATTCCGCAAAACGTCAAATCTTTGATAGATCCACCTTTCAGAGAATTGAGAATAACCGATTCAAAATCTCTATTCCTGATCTTGTCCATGTAGAGAGGAGGAACTCCACCAAGGTACATATCCTCTGTTGTCTGAATTAATTGTTGCATCTTGTCTATGTTTCCAGTGTGTTTTTCGCTATCAACATAAAGATCCACCCTATAACGAAAAATAGACATAACAGTTAAACAACATGCACAGAAATGATGACAGCCAAGAGAAAGGGAAAACTATCAACAGCGTCAATGGTAGATGATATTTACCTTATTCTCAGTAATTTTTGCGCGTACTTGATTTCGCCAAAATTTCAATGCCATATTTTGCGATTTCACGGAAAAATGGACTCTAGGGGTATTAAATTTGTGAAAATGTCACCAAATTTTAATCATCATTTTAAAAAATCGGTAAAGGTAAAGGCCAATGCGTCGGCCGACAGTCGGCCGGTCGGCGCGCTGATAGAATCGGATTCGTTACCTTAATCCAAAATATCCACACACTGGTCGGATGCTTTAACCACTAAGCTACAGAGAGACTCGTGGCGAGCTAGGCCATATACTAGGTTCATATGTGACACGTGTCTTACATACTGCTAAGGATCATATGAACCTAGTATATGGCAGGCTAGTAGCTCACCACGAGTCTCCCTGTAGTTAGTTTCACAGACACACCTTGTACCATCCTTGTTAACTGATACAAAGTGCCATTTGTCATCATTATATTTCTTAACAGTCTGTAGTGTCAAGGGAACATTTCCTGCATTGGCTTTAACTGTCACTTTTCCATTAATTATGCCCAAGGCAATAAAATCTTTCTGAAATTTGAACAAAAATACTCAGTAATCAGTGGAGAGAATATCAATTGAGGTATTTAAACGATATATAAAATACAGATAGAAGTGCTGGAACACTGATTCATCAGTGTACTTTGTCCCTGTTATGCTAATTACTCCAATGCCACAGACTATATAGAGGAGGCAGTAGACTATATAGAGGAGGCAGTAGACTATATGGAGGAGGAAAGACAGTGGAAGTAGAGAGACAGCAGGCAGGATAGAACGGAGGGGAGGGAGGAGGAAGAGGAGGAGGAGGAGGAGGAGGAGGAGGAAGAGGAGGAGGGGGAGGGAGGAAGAGGAGGACGATGACGATGATGATGAAGGTGGTGGTGGTGATGATGATGATATATTTAATGAGGTTGTGACACACAATCAGCATCAAGTCAGTGTGTTAAACTAGACAGAATTCAACAACTTGGAAAACTTACTTCTTCACTGTGAGCCTCCAGAAAAATAAGTCCATGTTTGGTCGAAGGACCTACTTTGAAGGTTAGTCCAATAGTAAAACTTCTTACGCCGTTGGTCAAGGAAGGGGTTTATAGAAAGGTAACTGTCGTCTTCAAGGAACGTCACATTGTGAGCTGGCTGTGATTATAAATGGCATACACATGAGGATAATTCTGAATAATTAACCCTTTCACTTCCAAGAGTTGCTAAGTTTCAAAACTTAAGAAAAAGTATTGAATTTCATTTTGTAAAATTGCCAAAAGCAAACAGCAACACTTGAAAGTGCTGCTCAATGACAATAGCTTTCATTTGAATGGTCACACACTAGGGTTTCATCCACAGATTTAAAAGTTAGAACCACATTTATTGACTCAAGATAATTGACTCTGGGAGTGAAAGGGTTTAACACAGTAAATTTCATTTTCTTGACGTTTCTTTAAATTTACAAGGCTAACACCTTCAGCTAGCTAGAGATACGAGTAGTTGAATGAACATTTTTTTTCTTTAAATTTTTGCAGCAGTACAAAAATATGGGGACTATTTCTTTGAAGGAAAGCATGTGCCAGTGGAGAATGACTCAAATTTATAGAAGGGACTCCTGACCTTAAGGCGGGCGTCCACCTGAATGCCATTTTCCCGCCACTTAACATGGGTTTAATGGCAATATCTCATTCACGTTTCAAGCAATCCAAAAACTCTTAGCTCATCCCATGAATCTATGTTATGGGGTGTTTTGTAAATTTTGGGTGATTTTTGGGTATTTTGGGGAGGAAATAGTTTTTCTCAAAGGAGTTGTAAAACTTAGGGAAATAAGAAATATTGAAGAAGATTCAATGTAGTTTTAAAATTAGAATTTGAAGTTAAAAATTAGTAGATTGACATTGTGTTCCAAAATTTTTTTTTTCCTTCTATCCCTTCTTTAAACCTCTTAAAATTTCATTGAAATTCAGGTAGAATCCCCCCTTAACGTTACACCCTGTAGTAACAGTAGGATACCTGGCCACTTCAAAGCTGTACCCCTAAAAAAGCTGGATACACAGCTACACAGTAATTCTTTTCTAACACTTCTTCCTTTTTTTACGTTTTAAAAACAAGAAATAACCTTACTGTATATCCTTTCCAGGCTACACCTATTTCAATAGCCCTTTTCACGGTTAACTTGCGATATTTGCTTAACAATACACTTGAACATAG